GGCGGGCGGGTAGCAGCGCGGCTATTAACGCTGGCGCGTTAATGACCGCACGACAGGCGAGGCGACCGTGCGGCAGGCGAGGCGACGCTTTGACCGTCGGGCGCCGCGAACGGCGCGTCCGGAGGGGGCAGGCCAGGCGCCGGGCCGGTCGGGTGGCAGGCTAGGCGACGCGGCAGGCGAGGAGCCGACAGCGACGGTAGGCGGCAGCGGTGGCGTCCGGCAGGCGCGGTGGCAGGCGGCAGCGGTGGCGTCCGGCAGGCGCGGCGACAAGCGGCAGCGGAGGCGCGCATGCGAGGAGACGACAGCGGCGGCAGCGGTGGCGTCCGGCAGGCGGCACGTGCGTGCAACTGCCTGCGTGCATGCGCGCCTCGAGCGCCGTGATTGGCGGATGGGTGCGGGCTGGCGTGGGGTCGAGGGACGTGGGGGTGGGGCCGCGACGGGTGCGGCGCGACGCGTTGACTGCGGGGATTGCACCCGTGATCGCGGGCGGGCACGTCTGCATGCCTGCCACGTCACCAGGCGCGTGCGGCCGGCCGGTTTAAATTTTTTTCCCTCCCGGACAGGCGGGATGTATTAATATACGTATTGCTTTGCCTGTTTTTTTTTTGCGGGCGGTCAGGCCGGCGGGGGAAGCTTTTTCAAAATATGCCCATCCTGCCCTCTGTTATGAAGGGGTATTGGGCAATCTCGGCCGTCCTTGTGTTTACAGGGGGTCTACCGAAGCGGAAGTGATAGAAAAAATGTGTGACTTTGTACTGCAACAGTAGTGGTGAGGCACTACAACATGAGGGGCTCTTTTACTGCAATAGCTGGTCCAAAATGCCTGAAAATGGTTTGACATAAACTACTTCGAAAACAACTTAAAATGAAACCAGACATCTGGCCCTTCGTCCATCTATTTGTTATCCAGTTAACAAGTTAAACTGTTGTCTTATATTAACTGTAACAGCTAATTGTGGGCTGTTCTGTCTAGTGCTTAAATGTTACTCTGCTACATAACCAATGTATCATCGAATCATGCACCCGAAAAGATTTATTGTTTTTTTCTTCTGAAAAGGGCGATTGATACTCCCTTCGTAAAGAAATATAAGAGTGTTTAGATCACTACTTTAGTGATCTAAACACTCTTATATTTGTTAGAGGGAGTACCTAGCAGGATGGCTTTTCTGTCACTCCAGCGACCGCAGCCCACAGGCATATATGGAAGAAATAATGTGAAGTGTAGACGTAGGTCTCCACATTTGCTTGATATTAAAAGCGAAGACCAGTATAGATGACAGTACTTCCCACATGCATTTTACGCACAGAATCATGTGGCAACGTGGAATCCTTTAAAACAGAATATCTTCAACATAAACTTCATAGCTGAATTGTGTTTTTTTTGAAGGCATGTCTTTGTTTCTATTTACTCCATGTCCCCTTGTTTAATCTGTCACTTTATTCTCTTCACTGCAGGGCGTTCCAAACCCAAAGGCCATCCACTCGTCCAAGGCTGTAGGAGAGCCCCCGTTCTTCCTCGCTCCCTCCGTCTTGTTTGCGATAAAAGACGCAATTACAGCGGCCAGGGCAGAGGAGGGTCATCTTGACTGGTTCCCCCTTGACAACCCGGCAACACCTGAAAGAATAAGGATGGCGTGTGTTGACTCCATTACCAAGAAATTTGCCAGTGTATATTACCGTCCCAAGCTTAGTGTATAGCGGCAACAACTAGAAGGTAAATAAATGTCTACATGTTCCCATTGAGTTTATCTTGTTGAGAGCAGCAGGGGAGGCTCTGTTTTGACCTTCCCATCAGGACCATCAAGAACTTACATGTATAAACTCTTGCGATCTTCTAGTAGTACTTGATTAAATTAAGTACACAGAGAACTATCTGAAGCTCCGAGATGATATATATTAAAGAGATCTATATTGAACAGAGTGAGCTAGACGTGGGAACTTCAAAAATCGTCGACAACTTGTCATGCCGAGAATTTAGATGCATATATGTTCTTCAGTTTTTTTTCCAAGGGTACGCCAATGGCGTATCTTAACTTTATAGAAGGGATTTGGTAGGAGATAGGGCCCTATCGGATCTAGGGCCTAGGTTGTAGGGGAAGGAGGGGGAAGGGTGAGGGCTGGTGCGCGGTGGCTGGCGGCGTGGCGCCGTCCTTGCGTCGGGAGCAGCAGCGGCGGAAGCAGGAGGCGGCTAGGGTTTAGGTCTCCCGGCTCCCTAAGGAAAGCTGAGCAAATATTGATTGCTTCTTGCTTGATTAGACTGATATATCTCCTCTCCTTATATAAAGAGGTTTACTTGACTCCTAAGCAAACGATCCTAATACGATAAGATAATTGGGCTAAGCCCCTAATTAAGATACTTGGGCCATAACCCACTGGGCTAAGCTGCTATGCCGGTCATAACACTTCTCCCCGCCTGCACAAACAGCTCGTCCTCGAGCTGTAAGGTGGGGAAGCGCTTGCTGAACTCCTCGAGGTGATCAACCGGTGTCAAACACCTTCGCGACAGCTGGGGCGGCAAGGTCGGCGGCGACGGCGTCCTCCGGAATGTAGTCTGCAACCTCCAGGTAGAAGAGTCGCGGGCAGGCGTGGCCGGACGTGTAGGGCTCGTCGCAGTTGAAGAACAACCCTTGGCGCGACGCTCGAGTAGCTCGGCCGAGGTGAGCCGGCGGAACGGGCGCGCCGCGGTCGCGGCGAGGGGTGCCGCGGAAGCCTGAGCAGGCCGACCCTGAGCGGAATCTGGCCAAGGTAGCGACCCAGTGGCCCGGGACGGTGACTCCTGCTGGACGGCCACCGCGCGGCGCTTGAACGCGCGGGCGTAGTACATGGCCGTCTGGATATCCTGGGGTCCCCGAAGCTCCACGTCCACGCGGATGTGATCATGAAGTCCACCGACAAAGAGGTCGGCCCGCTGCTGCACCGTCACGCCCGACGCGTGGCATGCCAGTGCCTGGAAACGGTCAGCAAAGTCCTAAACCGTGGAGGTGAAGGGAAGGCGGCCTAGCTCCGCCAGGCGGCTCCCGCGGATCGGGGGCCCAAAACGAAGGAGGCAGAGCTCACGGAAGCGCTCCCAAGGGGGCATGTTGCCCTTGTCCTGCTCGAGGGCGTAGTACTAGGTCTGTGCCGCGCCGCGGAGGTGGTAAGAGGCGAGCCAGGTGCGCTCCGAGGCGAGGATGCGCTGCCCGCGAAAGAACTGATCGCACTGGTTGAGCCAGTTTAGGGGGTACTCCGTGCCGTCATAGGTGGCGAAGTCGATCTTGACGAACCGCGGCGGTGTCTGGGTCGGAGCGTCGTGTCGAGCTAGCTCAGAGGTGTGGAGTAGCGAGGCGGGTGGCGCCTAGTCGGAGTACTCCGGGTAAGGACCTGCGGAGCTGGATGGCCCGCCGAACTGCAGAAACGGGGTCGGCTGCTCCGGAGTCGTGGTGTAGACCGGCGATGGCGAAGACCCAGCCGCCCAAGCTGGTAGTGGTGACGGGGAGGCCGGAAACCGGACCTGATGTATCAGAAGGCCGGCCGGCGAGGACGCCCTGAGCTGGGCAGAGGTGGCGCTGGTGGTTGCAGCGTCGGCTGTGAAGGGTGGGCGGGTGCGTCAGTTGCCGCGGGGGAAGGCGGCTGCAGATGCCAGAGGGGAGCCGCAGCTGGCGGCGGCGGCAGATGCCACAGAGGAGCCGCGGCCGGAGTGGTCTTGCCGGGGTGCCCCTCCTGGAACGGCAGCCCGGTGCAGGCCGGCCACGGCAGCGTGGGGGAGCCTGCCGGGAACGGCAGCAGCGGCTGCCCGCTGTAGGCAGGCGCGCCCTGGGACGGCCACGGCAGCGTGGGGGAGCCTGCCTGGAACGGCAGCAGCGGCTGCCCGCTGTAAGCAGGCGCGCCCTGGGACGGCCATGGCAGCGTGGGGTGGCCGTAGGCGGTGATCGGCGCAGCCGACGGAGGTGCCTACGGCCCGGCCATGTACAGTTGGTACAGGTTCAGAAGGAGTCCCTGGACGACTGTCATGAGATCCCGCAAGGTATTGGTGACCTGTTCCGGTGTGAAGACGGCGGTCGTTGGCGGCGCGGAAGTGATGGGGGCCAGGGGCGGTGAGGAGCCCGTGGTGGTGACTGGGCCCGACAGCGTGGAGGCCCTGGCGGTGGTCATCGGGGCGAACGTCATCGGCGCGGAGGTGGAGATGGGCAGCGGCGGCGATGGTGTTGACGAAGATATGATCGGACCCAAGTCTCTGGAGTCTGGATACCAAATTGGTAGGAGCTAGGGCCCTACCGGATCTAGGGCGTAGGTTGTAGGGGAAGGAGGGGGAAAGGCGAGGGCTGGTGCGCGACGGTCGGCGGCGTGGCGGCGGCGTGGCGCCGTCCTTGTGTCGGGAGCAGCGGCGGCGAAAGCAGGAGGCAGCTAGGCTTTAGGTCTCCCGGCTCCCTACAGGAAGCCGAGCAAATATTGATTGCTTCTTGCTTGATTAGATTGATTGATACATCTCTTCTCTTTATATAGAGAGGTTTACTTGACTCCTAAGCAAACGATTCTAATACGATAAGATAATTAGGCTAAGCCTTTAATTAAGATACTTGGGCCATAACCCATTGGACTAAGCCCCTATGCCGGTCATAACAAGATTCTTCAGTTTGTTTTAAATTACAGATGCTATGTGGTTGAACCAAGCTCAACGGTACCACATATAAAAACACTTCATCTCAACCCCAGCCCTCTCCTCGTGGTAAATTAATTTGTGGCCCCTCATAGGTCTGCTTCTTAATAATTCTACATCACTTCTCGTAATTGTAAAATAGATTATGCTCATTGTGTAACCGTAAAAACAGAAAATGCATTCTAGTTGGAACACTTAAAGGAGATTAAAGAACCTTACCAAATGTATATAAGCTTAAAATTGCAATATCCTATCCACGTTGGCATCACATAATTAGCTACTATATACAGATGACATCCTTGTGTTTCGGTAGAAACGAGAAGCTGAATCAGGACAATAGCTTTTTTTATCCAAAAACATGCAATAAGTTTTTTCGAGTCGTCCCCCGTTGTGCATTGATAGAAAACCAGTGATTTAAAGGCCTAAAACTTGCAATTGATTCTTACACCTCAAGGCAGCAAGGAAAGCAACATCTACATACAATTTTCTTGAATTTGTCAGACTTATACATTCTCAGTGACTCCCATGCCTAAACTCGTGACTGGAAATAGGCGGACTATTTTTGATCTAGGATGAGAAAAGAGGAATATTTAGCACACATGACAGCATTGTGTGGTTTGTAAAGCAAGTTCCCTAGTATATGACACCTGTTTATAGCCGAACCATGGCCAATTGAGTATTTTGGAGTTAACCAATATTTTCTGGGCCACAAAAAAATTATACGTTTGCATGCCTTCAATCTTTTGTCTTCATTTCCACACTGTTATTCTCATAAATGGAGAGATCGACATCTTGCACTTATGAAGCACCTGCAATGGTACTCAGGGATGTTAAAATGGTGATTCTATTGAATATAGAATGCTCATGCATCTGTCGGATGTAGAGGCCGGGGGTGATCCTCCTTCTCCAAAAAAAGGCTCTTGTGCTCACCAACGTGAGCTGACGGTTGCATATATATACTTGCGTACGTGCCATTACTAGATGTTAGCGCACTGCATATATGTGAGTTACTGATTTGTTAACATTTCTGAATTTTTGCTGACAAGATGTGGCCTGTACTTAAAGGAAGATGTGTGTCACTGTCAGTATATACACACGCACAGACCGTACACATTTAAGGAAAAGGGGATCCAAAGAAAGAAAAAAAAAGCACCCTCTGATCCATATTACTTGTCGCTCAGACGGATGTATCTACCAAATCTAGATACATCTATTTGAGCGACAAGTAATATGGATCGGATGAGTAGTTTTTATATGAGCCTAACCTAATACGTGACCCCCCCCCCACCCACCCACACACACACACACAAAAGCATTTTCGTCTTTTTCTGAAATTGGAGCCATGTTTCAGTACATGTTAATTTGTCCAAATGACGAATGATTAGATGTGATGAGAAAATGATTTAATTCGACTCTGAACTATGTAATCGTAAAGTTTTGTATAGTCCGATCCTGAGATGATTTCTGAATATCGTCTTCCTGTTACATGTTATATCTCGCTTTCATGATAATTTCAGGCACTGGAAATGGAAGTAAAATGCAATTCTCCATCGTTTGATGCATTGTTTTTGGATTGAGGTGTATCTCTATCCATTACAGGAAAAATACAATGAAACACCAGAACAACCAATGATCAATAAATGGATATCACAAACCGACACAATGCAAAGACCTCAGTGTTAGCAATAGCAACTTGATATTATCAGGAGGCAAACACCATCATATATACATGTACAGGGGAGGCCAAAAGGCCAGAATGCAAAAGGCCAAAGGCCATCATAATTATAACTCTAACACCCCCCTTAAACTCATGGTGGATCCACAACACTGAGTTTGGAGAGATAAAATCCATGTTGTGCTCTAGTTTGGGCCTTCATGAAGAAGTCCGCCAGCTGTAACTCGGAAGGCACATACTGAAGAGCAATAACATGGTCCTGCACACCAGCGCGCACAAAGAAAACATCAACACCAATATGCTTGGTAAGTTCATGCTTCACCTGGTTCCGTGCTATACTGATAGCACATGTACTGTCTGACAAGAGTGTAGTAGGCGCAGTAACAG